TATAAAACGATCCTTTACCCCAATTAGATAAATACAAAAATAAAGAAAACTTGTTTGCGAGCAGACACTTGTTTAAACAGAAGGATTTTGTCCTGAATTCCTAACGCAAAAGTGAAAGGGGAAGGGTAAAACCCCCACGCTACGCAGCACCAAGCTCTGGGGTAAAACCGGAGGAAATCGGGGCAGCGGCGGTGACGCTGGCGGTGACAGTTTCCCTTCCTGAGGGTCCCCCACGGGCAAATCCTCCACAGTCACCCCAGAGGTGGTGGAATGGGAACAGCAGGCACGCAGACCAGCTTCAAAAAATCTTGGGATCCGAGCTTAAAAATCCCACTCGTCCAAAAAGGAATAGGATTTCAGGACAAAACCAGAGGCAACCATTCATTCTCGTTGCTATTTTACTTTATTGGTGTTAATTTAGCACGTTCCCAGGAGGCAGGCGGTGTCAGAAATCATTTTATTTTCCTCTCCTGGGCCAGACTATCGTGCAGCTTGGACACCTCCGGTTCGTAGGCCTCCATGACTAACGTCCCGTTGTTATCGAAAAATTTCGCGATGGATTTGGTGAACTCTGCTTCCCTCTGCTGTTTGGTTTTCCCGCTGATGAAAGTCAGCTTCAGGGTGTACATGTCATCAAACCTGCGGAGAGATTTCAGAGCAGAATTTAAGCCTGGCTTAGCTGAGACACGGACAAAAAAAAAGCTGATGAGAGAGAAATCCTCGTCTTTGTGAAGGGAAAAACCCGCAGGAGTGGAGATCCCCGCACGGACGCTAGCAGCTGCCAAGGTGCAGGCGTTAATTATAACTCAATTAAAGATTTTAATACTCTTCGTGATTAAATGGGACGGGGGGGAACTAGAGAGAAGCGAAATGTGAACATTTGCGGTAGATAACTGCTTGGCACCGCTCTCATTTCTAACTGGGATATTGATTTTGACGGAGCGAAACAGATTTGTAGGTATAAAAATAAAGGAAAATATTTAGGGTGATCCTATGGAGAGATCCGGCTGGAAACGGTGCGCGCGAGGCTGGCAAGCCCATCGCAAATCGCTGTTTATTTTTAAGTAATCATATTCTTTCTGTGCTGAACATTTAATCACGAGTTGCCTGGGAAGCCGCAAAGATCACGGCACAGTAGCCGATCCTTTGCAGAAAGCTCACGTCCTCGGTGCAGCGACACCAATATTTTCCCCCAATATTTACAATTTATCCAAAAAGCGGCTTTTCTGCCCCGCCACGGAGCGCGTGGTAGCTGCGGGCGCAGGCAGCACAGGCAAAACCGAAGCCGTGCTGGTATTGCACCGTCGCGCTCCCGCTCGTTAAGCCCGGGTTGCCGGAGCAAACGATACCGTTTGAGACTGGAGGAGAGCTGCCAAACGTCGTCAGGGTCCATCCCTGCGGGGTCTTTTCTGTGAGCTACGAGGAAAATACTCTTTTCTTTGTATGAGGTATAGATAGTCAGGATTCCCATCATCACAAAATATGTGCGAAAAAAAAGTTAAGGAAAGTAGAGAAGTTGCAATGAGAAGTAGAAATTAGGCGGAGAAATTGCTTGGATCCCCTCAGACACTGTCGTTTAACCACCTCGCCCGGCATTATCATCCCAAACAGGATGCTTGGCTGACACCTCGTTAGCATGAGAAATTAATAATTATTGGGACCCTTTCTTAAATCTTTGCCCTTGTACAAGAGCATTAATCAATGCCTGGGAGCCGTGGGAAAAGCGACAACTCCCTACA